CACGGAGCAGCTGGTAGTTTCGAACCGCTGACCTTAAGGTTCGCAGCCCGATTCGTAACCACTACACTACCAGAGCTCCTTTCGCGACCCTATACCGACTATAAAATCTTTACAGGAGCAGACAACCTCTTCTTTCTCCTGTGGAGCAGCTGATAGTTTTGATCCACCAACCTTGTGGTTAGCAGCCCAACGCTTACCCAACAGCTCCACCACGGTTTCTTATTCTGACTCACAGTAATGCATAAGACCGAACAGAACTTCCTCATAGAGTTTCTACGGCGGAAAATCTTTAGGGACGCAGCCTGACGTGTCTGTCTCCTGCGGAGTAGCTGGTGAGTTCAAACTGTCAACTTTTCAGTTAGCTGTCAAGTACTTAACTACTGCATCACCAGGACTCTTTGACATGAAACCAGAAATCCTTTATTTGTATTGTCACAGTCTGAGATTATGACTCTAACAATGGCAGTCAAGCTTACCTAGGTATAAGAAAGGACCAGTCACTCATCTGCTAGTTTGTCATATCATGGTGGCTTGTATGTTGCTTATGAACAGCAGTGTAACATTTGTCAGTACCAGAATACTGTTCACTTATGAAAGGTTACCCACTGAAAACCTTATGAAATGCAATGGAACAATGTCTGATATAGAGCCGGAGGATGAGCCCCTTAGGCTGGAAGGCAAGCAAAATACGACTGGGGAAGAGCTGCCTCCTCAAAGCAGAATTGACGTTAAATAACATGGATGGAACAAAACTTCCAGGACCTTCATTGACTGACGGGGTACAACTCAACATGAGAAGAAATAGCTGCAAACATTCATTAATCATCGGAACATAGAATGTACTAAGTACAAACCTAGAAAAGTTGGAAGTCTCCAAAATTTAAGTGAAATGCATAAAAATCATTGCAAAGAATGGGAATTACAGAAGATTTAATTGAGCTCATGCAGAACCTGTACACAGAGCAGGAGGAAGTCATTTAAACAGAACAAGGGGTTACTGCCAGGTTAAAATCAGGAAACATTTGAGTCAGGATTATATTCTTTCACCATACTTATTCAATCTGTATTCTGAGTAGATGATCCAGGAAGCTAGACTATATTAGGAAGAATCAAGCATCAGGATTGGAAGAAGGTTAAATTAAAATATGTGATATGCAGATGACTCAACCTTGCTTGTTGAATATGAAGCACTTACTGATGAACATCAAAGTATAGCCTCCAGTATGGATTACATCTCAATAATAATAATAAAAAAATCCTCACTACTGGACCAATAAATAACATCATGATAACAGAAAAAAAGACTGAAGTTGTCAAAGATTTCATTTCACTTGGGTCCACAATCAACGCTCAGAGAAGCAGTAGCCAAGAAAACAAAGGACATATTGCATTGGGCAAATCTGCTACAAAAGACCTCCTTAAAGTGTTAAAGAACAAATATGCACCTGACCCAACCCAAGGAGTTTCCTCATATGCATGTAAAAGCTGGACAAAGAATAAGAACATCAAAGGAGATCTGATGCCTTTAAATTATGGTGTTGGCAAAGAATATTGAAAATACCATGGACTGTTAGAACAACAGTCAATGGTTGTTGTTAGGTACTATGAAGTCTGTTCCAACTCATAGCGACCCTACATGCACCTTAGCCTGCTCTTGTACCATCCTCACAATTGCTATGCTTCAGTCCATTGTTGCAGCCTCGGTGTCAATCCATCTTGTTGAGGGCCTTCCTCTTTTTCACGGACCATCTACTTCACCAAGTATGATGTTCTTTTCCAGGGATTGGTCCCTCCTAGCTTCTAAGGAGCATCCTGACTGTACTTCTTCCAACACAGATGTATTTGTTGTCCTGGTGTGGCACTGTAGGATAAGCACTGGACTGTTAACCACAAAGCTGGCAGTTCAAACACACTAGCTGCTCCTCAGAAACCCTATACGGGGTTGCTATGAGTCACAGCCAACACAAAGCCACTTAACCAAGAAACAAATAAATAAAGCATTTGTCCTCTTACTTTTTTCCCTAAAACTCCACCTAAAATAGTTTTTAAAACCTAGGCTCTTCTCTAATATTTTAGTTATATATTTAATACTTTTATGTGATCAGTTTAAATAATGGTGTGACACTGTAGGATAAGCACTGGACTGCTAACTGCAAGATCAGTGTTCCGTGGGAGAGAGATGGGGCTTTCTGCTCCCATAAAGATTTACAGCCTCGGAAACCCTGTACAGGGTCGCTATGAGTCGGAATCGACTCCACGGCACATAACCACCATCACTATAGTACAAACAGGAACAAGAGATCTGAACTTTGATTCCCTAAAAACTGAATACCCCTTGGCAAGTCTTTAAGGACCTTTACGGGTTTGCACACACCAGTTTGAAGATCCCTGGATTAAACTGACTATTATGGATTGGACTCCTGGTGGGGCACTGTAGGATCAGCACTAGACTGCAAACCATAAAGTCAGAAGTTCAAACCCACCAGCTGTTTCTTGGAAACCCTATATAGGGTTGCTATGAGCAGGAACCAACTTGATGGCACTTAACAACAACAACGATTGAGTCTCTACTACCCACAAAGTACTATGATAGGTAGTTGACAAACTCATATTACTGGTAGTCTGAACAACCCTATGTGATCATCTTCATTTTATAAATGAGGAAGCCTCTAACGGTTAAATGATTTGCCCAAAGCTTTACAGCTAGTAACTGTCAGAGTACGGATCTGAAGTCAAGTTGGACTCAAAGCTCTTATTATCAATCACACTGTGCCCACCCCCCACCAGCAAATCTTTCTTACCTTTAGAACATCAGTGGGGTTAGCTATAGTAGAAGATATCACTCCTGACACCACCCCGCAGATCATATTAATTAGAAGAGTTTCATCTGTAAAAAAGAAGGGAAAAAAATAAAAATAAAAACATTAAAGGTCTGTGGGTGTTAAGTCCCAGCCATCCGAGGAAGAAAACCTTAGGCATAGAGATGGCCTGAGAAATAAACTACAACGCTAATGAAAATAAAGAAACACAAATATACCTAGATCCCAAAATAGCACTGAGGTTTATAAACATTATAAAATATCAATCATGATTTCAAAAGCATATTATTTCTAAAGGTCACTTGAGCAAGTCCTACACATCTATGTACTTGCTAATATCCCACATAAATTTAGAATTTGATATTTCCCCTTCAAACATTTCAAAAAGTTTTTTTTAAAAAAACACACTTTTTTCTGTCTTTTCTCCCCCTAGGGAAACATCAACTCTTAAGACTCAGACACTAGATATTAAAAGATAAATTCTTATGTATAATAGAACAAATTTTGACTGCCTTTGATCTATCTAATTCTCTACTGATTTACAGAAGGCTTCTGTAGTCAAATGGGAAAAACCAGTCATTTGGAACTAAATCTCCTCAGTAAGAACAAAGAAACCACAGAACATATTGTTCTACAGTGAAATCTCAATCTTCACCACTCCTCCTCACCATGAGGAACCTACAAATAGAAACTAAGTAAACACAAGTAAAAAGTCTACAAAAGGAAATTATTTTAGAAAAATCCTTCATGTTCCTTAAAGAGACTCCAGGGAAAGTTGATTTAGGACAATAAAGTGATGCAAAGGACATCACTAACCAAAAGGCTTTCCAGCTGTCCCCAACCATCCAGCTGCCCCAGGCTTGCAATGAACTAACCATTTAATAGAGTTGTTGTTGTTGTTGTTGTTGTTATGTGCCCTGGAGTTGATTCCAACTCATAGCGACTATGTACAGGATTTCCAAGGGTGTAAATCTTTACGGGAGCAGAACGCCTCATCTTTCTCCCGCAGAACAGCTGGTAGTTTCGAACGGCTGACCCTGAGGTTCGCAGCCTGATTCGTAACCACCACTACGCTATTAGAGAGATGTAAATGCTGCAGCATCAAGTAGAGACACATATTGAGGGCACTCAGTGCGGGGAAGGTGGCCCCAGGTATATCAGAATCTAGACCTTTGTAGCCTAAAATTGATTCTACGGGGAAAAACATATCAAAATTAGCAGTTAGAGAATTTACTATAATTGAAATACACTTGCTGCTGAAATTGACATTCATTTTTTCTGAACAAGAACCATGTTCCCTCTAGAATGGAAAGAATTTTTGTTGTTGTTGTTTTCAATGCTGGAAAAAGGAACAAACTTGAAGAACAGTTCCCATATATTCCTGCTGCAAGAACTTCGCCCAAATCAACACAAGCATACTTTATCTTTGCAATAACTACCAGCCATCCTCAAGCACCCTGTAATTAAACTAAGCATGGTTTCAGTAATCTCTTTGAGTATCACTCCAAAAGAGAGGGAGGAGGTCTATACTTACTGACCTTCCAAACGCTCTACAAATAATCGTTTCAAGCTCTGGTAAATGCCAATTTTAATGGTGCCATATGATGCCTGTCTTAGTAAAGCAGGGGCAATTCTGCCAAAAAGAAAGAAAGAAAGAAAAGTCAATTATACTTGGTATACATCTACCGACTATATCATTTCCATTGCTCACCTCAACAGCAGAATATGCATTTTTTTTCAAGCATTTATGGAACATTCATGAAGACAGACCATAACCTGGGTCTTAAAAACAAACCTAAATCAACTGAGAAGAATTGAAATCATACAGAGTATGTTCTTCAATCATAATGGAATCAAACTAGAAATCCGTCAGAAAAACAAGATCTTCACACACTTGGAAATTAGACAACCTATGTCTAAACAATCCATGCATTAATAAAAAAAGAATCAATTAGCCAAACAACAGATAGGTATGTAGGGGGAACAACAAAACTAGTGAGGTATACACACCATAGAATGGTCAACCATTCAAGATCAAAAGGGCAGCGTTTACCTAAGGACAAAATTCAGAAGGTCGAGGTGGTGGGGGGAGAATGAAAACAAGAAACACAGGGACCAAGTGGGATATGTGATGTTACACCGAAGGGATTACAATCATTGAGATTAAACAAAATGTATGATTTGTGGAATATAAAACTGATCATCTGCCCTGTAAACCTTCACTCAATTCATAATAAAAAAGTTTAAAAAAAAAAAAAAAGAACCAAATGAAACGTCAACATATTAAAACATGTGAGATGCAACCAAAGCAGTGCTGAGAGGGAAATTTATGGCATCAAATGCTTACATTAGAAAACAAGAAAAGCCATAAATCAGTAATTTAAGTACCTGCCTTAAGAAACTAGAAAAAGGGCAAAATAAAACCAAAGTAAGCAGAAGGAAGGAGATAACAAAAAGCATAAATTAATAAAATTTAAAATCAGAAAATATAGAAATCAATGAAACAAAAAGCTGACTCTGAAAAAAAATTAAATCAATTGATAAGTGTATAGCAAGACTCTAAGATAAAAAAAAAAAGAAGACACAAACCACTAATGTAAGGAAGTAGCAAAGGGCTGCAACTACAAATCCTGCAGCGATTAAAATGACAAAGGAACATTATAAATAATTTTATTCTCATAAATTCACTGACTTGCAAGAAACAGACTAACTTCGCAAAAACCACCAACTACCAAAACTTAAGAGTCCTGGAGGAAGGGAGAATCTCCACTGAGTAGTCCAATCTGTCCGGGTGGGGCTGATGAAAGGAGATACGGATAGGTCTCTTGTGATACAATAGTGAATAATTGTTATCAGGACTGATTGTGAGGGTTGAAAATGTAAAGGTAGATGTTTTGTAGAAAAAGGAGGGGAGTGACTGACTTTGCAGTCTAGGAGCGGAGGTCCCTGGGACCATCAAGGGAGAAGAGCGGAGAGTGGGACCCTATCCAGAGAAGCAGTGATGCCAAAGATGGTGGCAGAGACAATGATGTGGAGAGATGGAGTGGCTGGGGACTTAAGACTCAGAGAGGGAGAGGGGCTGTGTGCTGAAGACTGGGGGGCAGGCTTGCAGGGTATACCCTTTGGTTGGTTGATGATGTATGGAGAGTATTGTAACCATGGCAATGAAACGATATATGATAGGATGAATGTAAAGCTAATGTTCTCCCATGTAAACTGTCATATAATTCACAATAAAAAAAAAAAAAGAAAGAAAAACTTAAGAGTCCTAGTGTGATGCTGTAGGATAAGCACTGGATTGCTAATTGCAAGGTCGTTGGTTCAAAACCACTAGCTACTCCTTGGAAACCCTATACAGGGTCACTATGAGTCAGAACAGACTCTATAGCACTTAACAATAACAACAACCAAAACTCAACAGGGATGAAAATGACTATCTGATTCATTCATCTTACAATCATTAAAGAAACAGAATCCACAATTTTAAAACTCCTAAAAAACGAACTTCAAGGTCCAGATCATTTTACTAGGGAATTCTACATAACACCATATTAACACCGTTTCTATATATTCTCTTTCAGAAAAGTGAAGTGGGAACCCTAATACCAAATCCAGGCAAAGACTACAAAAAATGAAAATGACAGATTAGTCAGTATCTCTCAAGATTTTAGATGGAAAAAAAATCCTCAATAACATATTAGCAAATGGGGTCCAGCGACATATACAAAGAATTCTATACTACTACCCACCCTGGTGTGCTAATGCGTCAGACTGCAAAGCCGTTTGAACTGCAAGGTCGGTGGTTCATGCTCACCAGCTGCTCCTTGGAAACCCTATACAGGGTTGCTAGGGTCGGAACCAACTCAACGGTACTTAACAACAACTCACCTCATGGGAGCACAGTGGCTCTGTAGGATAAGTAAGGGACTGCAAACTACAAGTTCAATAGCTGGAGCCTACCAGCCACTCTGGAAAAGATTTACAACCTTGGAAACCCTTTACCGGGTGGCTCTTGGGTCAGAATGACTCAACAGACCTTAACAACAACAGCAACAACAACAACCTACCTCATAAGGAATTTTTTTTTTTTTTAATCAACTTGTTTCCTACCTGTTGCAGACCCATCTTTATACCATCAATAAGGACGTACTGGAACCAAGATCTCACCCTATTTAAATTCTGTTTATAAACTGGAGGCATTTCTCACTCATGCCTCCCTTGTTGGTATTGTTAAGTGTCATCCAGTCGGTTCCATTTCATAACGACTCTGCATAGGGTTTCCAAGGCTGTAAATCTTTACAGGAGCAGAAAACCTCATCTTTCTCCTGCAGAGTGGCTGGTGGGTTCAAACTACTGACCTTATGTTTAGCAACCCACTACACCACCAGCACCCCTTTGATAAAGTATAGAAATACAAAAGGGGTTGATGTTGGAAGGAGGTGAGCAGTAAAATGAAGCTTATGCAGACGTGAATCTCTCATTTCAAAATACCAAAAGACACAGACCTGTTTAACACAACATACTAAACAATACTTTAAAATGTTGTTGCTGCTAAGTGCCATTGAGTGGGTTCCCACTACCCTGTTCAGGGTTTCCAAAGCTTTAAAGCTTTGAGGGAACAAAAAAGCCTCATCTTTCTCCTGTGGAGCAGCTGGCAGGCTCAATCCGTGCACCTCGTGGTTTAGTGCTTATCGTATGGAGCCATTGTGCTCCCACTTTAATACAGATTTAGGAAATATAGAAAAGCAAGCTCTACACCATGAAAGCAATAACCTACCATTTTGCAGAATCATATTTTAGGAGTTATAAATAAATATAAATAGGAAGACAGTCAGTGGCGGCTCAGACAGGATTAAGACATGATGACTGAATATGCAGATTTCTGATTTTACAAAAGTATCATGTGATTATGTTGATAAAAGAACAAGGTGAAACAGACAATCCATGAATCCCTTACATGTAGCTTCAGGATGTATTATTTGATTTTTTTTTTTTTTTTTTGCCCTACAACTTTTATCTTCTGCGGGAGAAAGATGAGGCTTTCTGCTCCCATAAAGATTTCCAGCCTCAGAAACCCTATGCAGGGTTGCTCTGAGTCAGAACCAACTCCATGGCACATAACCACCACCACAACTAATGAAATTGATGTCCTTTCCTCTGAGTACATAAACTGGCAGTCGAGACACAGGGCTAGCCTAGGAATTTGGCAGCAGATAAACTGCAAACTGGACAATAACCCACAAATGGATGGTTAATCAAAAGTTGGACCAAAAAAAAAGGGGTGGGGGGTTACCTGACAGTGTCTCTCTCATTCTACATTTTCTGTTTGAACTGACAAAATTGTATCTCTTTAAAAAGGAAATTTTTATGAGAAGTTCAGTATTTGCCAACTTAAGAGGAAAACCAAAGAAACAAAGACAATGGCTATTAACAATGGCGATCAAAGACCTTCATGCTGCAGTGATATATATACCTTCCATTGTAAATGTCTCACAGATAGCCAGATAAACACAAAATCCAAAGCTCCAGTCTTGCAAACAGGTGAACTAGAAACTGGCACACCAATACTGAATTACAGCTTCAAATGGTGACTAGGAAGGACACAAACTGAATTATGGCTTACTAATAGGCTAAGCACCGGACTGCAGACCATAAAACAGGTGGTTGAAAGACACCAGTCGTTCCTCATAAACCTTACACAGGGTTGTTATCAGTTGGAACTGACTCAATGGCACACAACAAAAACACAACATTCCAATAACTGCCAATACTTGGTGAGGTACCTCTCCACATATGGTTTGGCATTATACGACTTTATGAATCTCCAGCCCAAATAAAGCTAGCTAATAGACTTTTTAAAAATTCTATTCATGATATAAGGAAAGAATCCAACCTTACCCTGAATACAGAGCCAACACACCTTCTTCTTTATAAATTCGGAATAAGGCATGAAACATCCCTCTATATTTTATCTCTTTGAAACGGACATCGATGCTTTGGCCTTGCACTTGAAGTCTTGTCTTAGTAAGGTCCACGGGAAAAGTTCCTATTTAAAAACACTCATTTAGAAGTATTTCCAAAGAGTAATAGTTAAATTTCAGCTGGACTGAAGCGACTTTTGAAAGGTAAGACAAAATCCTTTTTATAGCACACAGAAGACATCTGTGTAAAATGGACTCTACTGTATCCATGTAGCATGATGTGAGCCACAGCATAACGGAAACTGTAACGCAGAAAGGTACTTCAAGAAGGTTCTAATACCATTCACAAGAACTTCAATTTTGTTTAATTTCATCTGTAATATACAATGTGGTATTGATCTTGGTCTCTCCCCCTTGCCATACCATCTCCAGCATCCTCACCTTTCTCTTAGAAAATTTCCCCAAACTTTGACAGAGATAGGCAAGAAGGGCTACCTGCCCCAGCTACTATAGTGACTACAAAGTTTTGATCGGTTTTATCCATTAATAAGAAACAAGCAGTTCCTTCATATTATAAAAGAGAATAGTCAAGTTCTATTTGGTGCTACTCAATCTCGTTCCTTAGGTAATGCAGGACTACTACCAGCACAGCGCTTGTGGAAAAGTTAAAAACAAAAACAATGTTATTTCTTTAGCATGCATTTCTTTTCCCTTAAAAAATATTATGGCAAAATATATGTAGCATTTGCCATTTTAGAGGGTTTTAAGTGTCCAATTCAGGGACATTCATTATATTCACCATGATGTAATAGTGCTACCCATTTCCAAATGTTTCCTTCCATTACCCTACACAGAAACTCATACCCTTCAGTAATAACTTCCCATTTCCCTCTTCCCATAGCTCCTGGTTGTTGTTGTTGTTAAATGCCATCGAGTCAGTTCTGACCCATAGCGACTCTGTATAGGGTTTCCGAGGAGTAGCTGGTGAGCTTGAACCACCGACCATGCAGTTCAAACCAACCTTGTAGTCCAGCACATTAGCCTGCAGCACCACACCAGGATTCTTATAGCCCCTGGTGGTGGTGGTGGTGGTTATGTGCCATGGAGTTGGTTCCAACCCATAGCGACCCTGTACAGGGTTTCCGAGGCTGTAAAATCTTTACGGAAGCAGAAACCTCATCTTTCTCCCACAGAACAGCTGGTAGTTTCGAACTGCTGACTTTGTGGTTCACAGCCCGATTTGTAACCACTGCGCTACCAGAGTTCCTTGTAGACACTAATAAAATCATATATGTAAACATTTCCCTATTCTAGATAATTCATGTAAGTGGGAGCCTATGATGTTTGTTCTTTTACATATTACTTGGTCAGACAGCTTTATTTCACTCAGCATGTTTCCACAAGAGTGGGCAATATTTCGTTCTGTTATATATAAGATCTCCATGAGTCTGACGTGACTCCATTTATCATGCATTTTTTAACATATTTCTTCAATTACGTGCTTTAAATGTATCTCTCTCATTATGTCAACACATAGAATGGTTATTCCATTGACAAAATATGCGTCAAGGAATATTTTGAAGGTCTACAAGGTAACAAGATGATTAAGTAGCTTTGGTCACTGATGACATGGATGTCACAATACCAGAATATATGCCGAGCAAGTCAACCAAAAAAATGGATGGATTGTCAAGGAAACATACAATTTAGAAGATGGGGAACAAAACTGTCCAAATATTTCAAAATAAAAATAAGAGAGAAGAGTTCATGAATTTGTTTTTCTTCTAAAATGGAACAGACGTTTAAAAAAAAGGCGTTTGGATACTTACTAAGGAACTTATAAATAACTTCACAGAGAGATTTGTTGTTGTTAAGTGTTGTTGAGTCAGTTCTGACTCATAGTGACCCTGTACAGGGCTTCCGAGGAGTGGCTAGTGGGTCTGAACCACTGACCTTGTGGTCAGCAATCCAGTGTTTATCCTGCAGCACCACACTGAGTCCAGAGAGAGATGATTAATACATAAATATAGTAGAAATCGCTATTGTATCCAACTCCTTCTATACTTCCCTGAATATTACTTAAGCTTGGTAATTAACAAAATGATTAGAATAATCAAAAATTAAAAAAGCTTTCTGAATTGGACTTCCTTGCTTCACTTACTTTATCACGATAGTATCGTCTCAGAAAATATGACTTGATGGCTTTGAGACAATAACCTTTTAAACAAATAGGGTGAACTTCTTTTTCTTTAGTTTTCACAAAAAATAACTGTCATGGTTAGCTACCATTTACACCATAAAGCGTAGATTTGTCAACTTTCACATTCTTACCAAACTCAGCAACGATAGAGGCAAGGCCGCCATATACAAAGGGTTTCCAATTCAGACCAGACATCTCATGGCTTACAGTGGTACTTTTCTGGTGCTATAAATAAACATAAATCAGAACAAGGCACAACGGTGAAGAGCATTTGTTAGTGTCTGATCATATAATTTATACCAACAAAACTGACAAAACAGATGCAGAGGAAAAACCTTACCAATTGTGATGACACAAAATGGGGCCTCCTGTCTTAGGTACTGGAGAACCATGAGTTTGTACTCTACTGCCATTCTGTGGGACAGGCATGGGATTTCACTCAAACCTTTTGGCCTTCCTTCTCTCTACTTTTAGTGTTATCCCATCTCCACCCAAAGAAAAGGCCCAGTCCATCCAACACACTCAACTTAGACATTCAACTAGACAATTCTAAGTGAAGGAACCAGGAGTTCAAATGATATAGGCTGAAGCAATCTCATAAAAGCAATTGATAGCATTGAATTAGCTTGATTCAAATGCAAAGCACTAGCTTACATGTACCTTCTCACTCTTAATCTCATCTCTCCACTAAATTTTAGGGTTTTAGTTGATCTAGCTACTCCCAACGTGTCCCCACTACACCCAGGCTAAATTAAGTCCTTCTTCAATCTTCCTTCTAGTCCCAACAGAAACGTTAACAATCTGATGTCTTTCTTCTCTTCTGACATTTACCATACATCTACCTAATTGATCTCCTTTTCCTTCTCATACAATCTGAAAACACATACATGTAAATACTGCTGTTGTGTTTTTTAATGTCTTGATTCTTTAATAGTAGTTTCTGTTCCCCTTCCCCCATTAGACCTATCATTTTTCATCATCTCAGCATTTTCCTCTGTTTCTACCACTCCCAGCTCTCTCTCTCTTGTGGACTTACTTTTTCCTATAGCTCTGGCCTTTAGGCCAGTGCTTCCAGATTTTAGTGTGCACCAGAATCACCTAGAAGGATTATAAAAATATAAATTACCAGGCCACATCTCCAGAGTTTCTGATTGGTGGTATGGGTCTTGCCCTGATAATTTGCATATTACAAGATAATGCTGCCACTTCGGTTGTAAGAACCACTGTTCTTGGCTTATCTACTGAACCCTAGTCTAGCGGAATATAATCCTTCCTTAGGATGGACTCTTGGATTTCTTTTAAATATTCCTTTTCCAGAGCTTCACAATACGTCTATTTCTGAATTTCAAAAGCAACTTCAAGTGGCTTTATGGTCAGGAATAAAAGACTCTGAAGTCACACTGGCTAGCTTCAAATCCTGACACTACAAGCTCTGTGACCTTGAGCAAATTACTTAACCTCTTTGTGCCTCTGTTTCCTCAACTCTAAAATGAGAATAATATAATAAAAATGGTATCAGAGGATTATTGTGAAAATTAAATATCTAGAAAAGTGATTGACACCTAGCTTAATAATGGTACCTATTATTGCTACAATTTTGAAAACTCAAGTGTCCAAATTTATATCTTAACAGATATTTAACACTTAAATACCCCCACCTGCCCAACATGAGGGTTCGCACCATTGAGTTACAGTCTGTTTATAAGGGAGATAACGTTTTGCTTTGTTTCAACATAAGGAATTCTCTGTAACCGAGCACAGAAGAACAGATTTCTAGAGAGGGCAGTAAACTTGCAGGCGAATGTTTTAGTTACAGGGCACAAAACTACTTATAGGAAACTTCCTTTCAATATAATGTGATCAGCAGTCCATTCGATATGCAGACTGTAGAATCCATAGCCCTTTTGGAGGAAAAGTTGTTGAAAGAAATTCTATAAAAGCAAAATAGGAATTTAAAAAAAAAGAAAACAGAGCCTAAACCCACTGAGTCAATTTAGACTCATAATGACCCTATAGGACAGAACAGAATTGCTCTGTAGGCTTTCCAAGGCTGTGTAATCTTTACAGAAGGAGACTGCCACATCTTTCTTCCGAGGAGCAGCTAGTGAGTTGGAACCAGTAACCTTTCAGGTAACACATGAATGCTTACTCACTGTGCCAATATCATCTGCAGTCTGAAATAAGAGTCTTGAGTACTAAAAATTGTCTTATCAATTTTTCGGCCATGCCCATATGTTAACATTTGAAATGACAGAATTACATGACACAGAGGAGAGCAGGCAAGAAAAAGCAAGGGTGGTGGTATATGCCCTTTTTGAGTTTCAGGGAAAAAATGAACTCTTCATTCAGCAATTTAGATTTCCCAGAAAATGTAAATGTTTCAGACTGCTGCTGCTGTGTTTCTCGCCAAAGTGTTCTCTTTATGACTTCTTTCAACCCTTCTCATTACAGAGAAAGTCTCTTTCAGAGCTTTAATACTGGCTACACCCCAAACCCACTGCTCTCTCCAGTCAATTTTGACTATAGCATTTCCAAGGTAATGATCTTTATAGAAGCCAACTGCCTTATCTTTCTCCTGATGGATTCAAACCAATGACCGTTTAGTTAGCAGCTGAGCACTTCAACCACTGTACCACCAGGGTTTCTTAGTAACCGCTACCAACCTTACAATAAGGAAGATGTGTCCAGGGTTCAAAGAGCAATATTAAACCAGAGAAAGGCAGGGGGTAGGGCCAAACGGGTAACAGAAGGGCCATTCACTGAATCTTGGGTCAGTTCATCAGCCAGGTGGTTGGTTCTCTAATAAAGTTTTCAATATTGTGGGTTAAATGAAATAAAGACACCGGGAGCCTTTTTATCAGCTAAATGTATTTAATTTAAAGGACTGCCTGTTATGAAATTGAGGAGTCCTGGTGGCATGGTGGTCTATACATTGGGCTGGTAACCACAGGGTCAGTGGTTTGAATCCACCAGCCGCTCCTTGAGAGAAAGACAAGACTTTCTGTTCCCATAGAGATTTGAGCCTCAGGAAAAGCAAAGCAAAACAAAACAAACCTATACATGATTGACTGCTATGAGTCAGAACCGACTCAATAACATACAACATTATAAAATTGTGTACTTTCTACTCTCAGAGCATTAAAATATAATACCTCACCTGTACGAAATGAGGGCAACAGCAGTTGGCAGATGATTTAGTTTAGTGTCCTTACTTGACAAATCAACACTAACTACCGTATACTTGTGCCCCGTCTCCACACTTTAAATTGTATTGGTCCACCACTACCATCAAGGAGCTCTGGTAGCGTAGTGGTTACGAATCGGGCTGCTAACCTCAGGGGCAGCAGTTCAAAACTACCAGCTGTTCCATGGGAGAAAGATGAGGCTTTCTGCTCTCGTAAAGATTTACAGCCTCGGAAACCCTGTACAGGGTCGCTATGAGTCGCCTCTTTCCCCCCATCTGATAGTAAAATCCTTGCCCTCCAAGTTAGAAGAGCTTCATTTTATGAAGAAGCCCTATGTCACCTTGGATTAGGTCTGATTGATACAATCCTTCCTGATACTGACCCCAAAATCTGCCTTTTTTAATTTTCACTCATTCTTTGAAGGCAATATTGAAAAGGTTTATTCTTCTCCCGTAGAGGAGTCCTTGAAATATTTAAAGATAGTTATCACATCTTTCTTCAGCCAAATATCCACAATGTTTCTCATTCTCCCTATTATCCTCCAATGACTAGAGGTGGAATTTGAAGTTTATTTTCGGGAATTATATCACCCTGTTGAATCATTAAGCTGTCAGCTAACATCTCCGAATCTTTTACATAAGGCTATGTACGCACGATGTTAATGCCTCACCTATTTCACAGTTTATCCCTTATCTTAATCGTAGTTGTTAAAAAAAAAAAAGAGCAAGAGAGAGACTAGAATGAGGTTTAGTTCTTCTATTTGCCTCCATGTTATTTATTTCATCTCCTAATTATCTAAGAATCTTGAAGGCAGACACCAGGCTCTACAATACCTTTTGTCACCCTCATAATAGTTTGCAAGGAGGTGGATAGACATTCATTAAGTGGTTGGTTTTCCAATATGGTGTACTTTACCCAAATATTCAGCCTGCATGTAAAAGAAAGGTAACTTGCTGGACCTGACCTACACATGCCCTGATCCCCAGAGATTCTCTGCCTACTAATCCCCTTTCCTTGATTTGGCTGCAAAGAATTACTTATGTAAAATATTACAATCCCTCTCAAAATGATTGTGACTTGTGGGGAATAATCCCAGCTATGAGAAAAAGGAAAGAAGTCTTATCAAAGTTAAAATAGAAAGGACTTAAATATTTTTATTATATAAAGAAGCCAATAAAAAATGTCTTCAAAATGCAGATTATTCTGAAGATCTGAATAAGGAAAATGATAGCCTACAAATGAGAATAAGAATGTCCTAAAATGCAAACTACATAACCCTGTTATTACTCAAAAGTTCCGGCCAGTAAAACATGGGTACCTTTCTTGCTTTCTCTTAAGAGAAAGAAGAGACATGAGTGATTCTCATATTTAGGAGGTAACACAGAAGAGCCAAACAAAAATATGCTATGGGTATAATCACCACGTCAAAACAACAACAAAACCCAACAAAGCAAAAGCAAAAGCAAAAACTCACACCATATGTTGCAGCCCCATGACAATGTTTATCATTCAAGGAGATGGGGAGGGTGGGGGTAAAAGTTCTATGAAATAAAATACTTGCCTTTCAAGAGCTTATACTCTGGTGGAAGAAATCAAAATAGTTCATCAGAGAAAAAGAGACAATCAATATGGCCTTGAATACTTTGAAATGGCTTAGGGAAATGGGAACACGTCAAATGGGCCTTGACAGAGGGCAGGCAGAACATGGATTGGTATAGATGAGGGGGAGGAAAGGGAAACAGAATAACCAATGACAAGAATGGGGGAACATGCGTAGCACATGGAGGCAGGCATCAGTATGTTTTTTGCTGAGAAGGAAAAGAGCCAGTTTAAGTGAAACAGACAATTTGCTTGTCTGAATGAAACAGTATCAGACAAGAAATGTACAAGCAGCAGCTTATGCTGAAAGGCTTGAAACCAACTGGCTAAACAGGAAAGGGACTCCAAAAAATTCACATCCATGTTAGCCTAATAGGATGCAACAAGCACAAGGAAAAGCCTGGAACCGTATCTTAGGATGGTAGAAAACAAAGCAGGGTGAGGTTTCAGATGAACAGAAATGAGCACGCAAAGAAACTTGATGATGGAGGCAATGAAAGGGAGGGAAGACTTTATGATGATTCTAAGCATCCCTGTTATTGTTTGTTGTTAAGCGCTGTCGAGTCATTTCCGACTCCTAGTGACCCTGATAGGGTTTCCAAGGAGCACTTGCCATGTTAGAACCACCAACCTTGTGGTTCGCAGTCCAGTGCTTATCCTTCAGCGCCACACCAGGACTCAAAAGCATCCCTAGTCTGGGGGATAAAAAGGAATCATTGACAGAAAACTGTAAATGTCCCTCCTGTTACCTTGCCTGAGAGATTCCTTCATGTTTGGTAATGATTGTCACCCCAGTTAAATAACTGAACTGCATTTTACTAGATGCCTTCAATGTCTCAACCTCAGGAGTGGCAGGGGGAGAAACTGCAGGGGACATCCTCTTTCAACAGCATCCCTCATACTAATACAATGGAGGTGTTTGCTTACTCCGCTTACAATCACAGCCGCCGTTGCAAACTTCACCCTTAGAAAAATTAGGATTATTCCAGGAAAGATACCCATTCACCCTCTGGGTAGCCGGATCTTGCCAGTTCCACAGCTGTCAGAGCGAGTGCGTAGAGACAAGGGAGGCGCCTGAAGAAGGCGGCCTCCCAGGGGGGTCGAGAAGCTGGGTTCAATCGAAGAAGTAAAACCACCGATGCCAGGAGAGTGAAAGACAGGGAAGGGGCTCAGCTGAGGGGAGAGAGAGACCAAAGGACCGTTAAGCCCCTCCCAGGCCGGGAACCAGGCCAGCCGGGCCCCGAGCGGCGCGGCCTGGCGCGGCCCAGCCCCGCTCCCCAGCCTGGAAGTCCAGGCGCAGCCCCCTCACCTGCTCGAGCTCATCGGATGACTGGGAAACTGAGGATCCCACAGTCGGAAACACCACCGCAACACCAACCCGGAAGCATTGAGACCAGCGGAAGTAATCAAGGCGTTGCCTGGGCAACACTGTCACAGGCATCCCAACTCCACCTCCTTTAAGCCTAAAAAGAAGGCGCGAAGTGAGAGGCGGAAACCACCAAGTGCAAAGAGGGATAGAATAGTAGGTCTGGCCTAGGGATGCCAAGGCCTAGAGAGGGCACCCTACTTTCCCAAAGCCCAGGGAGAAGGAGCTAAAGTGTGAGGATCTGGCAGTATCTGCAGTTCTCAGGCTCACCAGTGGGGGCTGACAGACTTGTCTCCTGGGCACCAAGCTTCCTACTCCCCAGGGGCGCACACTAGTGTTAGAAGAGGGGTGGGTCAGAAGAAAAGGGATAGGGGAGCGGGGACAACTGGTGTGATGGGATGGAGCGCCCTGAGTGCTCACAGCCCGGAAAAAGTAGGGAAACTGGGAGTGGGGGTTGCAAAGAGCTTGAGACCACAATGGGAAATAAGGGGAAGAGGGGTAAGCAGTATTAGTGAGGTGCCTGAAGGCAGAAAAAAGAAAAAAAAAAACAAAGCTCAGTAACACCTGCTAGGTGTCCAAGCTAAGTGACCGACGAGTTAGACTCCGGACATTGTGCTTGATAAAGTCGAGGGTCAACAAAAAAGAGGAAAACCCTCAATGAGAGGGATTGATACAGTGACTGCAAAAGTGTGCTCAAACACAAGGAATGTGCGGATGGTGCAGGCCCAGGTAGCCTTGCCGTTGTGCATAGAGGATCTCTATGAGACAGAATGGATTCTCATAGGCAGCCAACAACCACATGTATTCAAAGCTCATGGTTTAATCAGAAACTGCAGTTGAGAGAAAAAATTAGTAACTGAAGAAGTGAAACATTACAGAGAGGAATTCCAGTGAATCCGCACCTCACAATCAGCCAAAAATGAAGAGCTACTAGGGTAATCTGCTATGTACTTAAGGAGGAGTGCCGCAAAGCCCCCTGGGTGAGCCAGTTAGCCTCTGCATTACACCTGGCCTTTAAACATCTTGAAGGAAGGATCTAGAATCACCCAGGAGTTTGCAATAATTGTTAGTGTTTATACATTGAGTATAAGATTTTACTGTGTGACAAAAAAGAGTGCAAGGCATATAGCCCTAAAGGGTTATTTGCTGAATGAATGTTCAGAATCCAAACAGAGCTTTCTCATTTTTATTTCATTTCTTTGTTTGTTTTCCTTTCATTTAAATATTTCTCCAAGTCAAATGTTGTTGTTGTTAAGTGCTGTCGAGTCAGCTCTGACTCATAGCGACCCTATATAGGGTTTCTGAGGAGCAGCTGATGAGGCTTGAACCCCGACCTTGCAGTTCATACTGACCTTGCCGTCCAGCGCATTAACTCACAGCACCACATCAGGACATAAGAATATTAGGCTCATATGATGGAATAAGAATGCTCACCATGTGCCAAGAGCGGTATTAAGAATTGTATGTGCTCACATGCACCCCACAGATATTATATTAGCTTCCCCATTTAACAGATGAGAAAACTGAGACCGTAAGAGGAATAGCAATAGCAATCTGGTAAGTGGCAGAGCTGCAATTCAAACACAGGTCAAACTTTAGAACCCAAGGTCTTCAATTCCTATGCTAGAGTGCCTTTCAACTTGAATAAATCCCCTTGGTTAACTTCGAAACTTCATTAAAAGAAGATGTAAGAAACATGTTCATGCATCTCAAAATATGAATTCTCTTCAATTCACATCTCATCAAAGCCAAGCTGTAGCTCACAGTTCTTGGCTAACTTGCTCTGCAATGACATGGATTCTAGGCACAGCTGTGGGCTGTGCACATCCCCCACACTCCAGGTTGCTCAACCTTGAAGAATCATAGCTAGTATTCTCTTTGCTTTTCTACAAGGTTGCACTTTGCCTCCTCAGGTACTGCTGCCATCACCAGCTAATTCCACTAAGCACGTAAGTAAACTTTGTTGAAAAGACCTTTGTTTTCAAATTATTTACTTTGAAAGTTTAATAGTAACTGAATAATAAAATGACATTGGTCAAAACAAAATTATAAAACCTATTATACTTTTATTTTCTTTTAACACACGAACAGTTTGATTGTCAACATTCTCTAAAACTGCAACATAAAAGTGTAATCCTATCAGAATCGGTTGTTTTCCTTTGCAACCCCCTTGTTTGTAGTCTCTACTGTACAAACCAGTATTTGCTCAAGCTATCTTGGTCTATGCTTGGATTCTGATCTCTGCAAGTGATTAGCTTTTCAAGAGAAGAGAAGCATGAAATCTTCTAGTTAAGATGAGAAGATTCTGAACTGAGGCTATTCCAGACTGGAAAAAAAAAAAAAATTCCTTCTCTAATATTCAAGATGGACTCCTGGTATGGCGCTGTAGGATTAGCACTGGACTTTGAACCACAAGATCAGCAGTTCAAACCTACCAGGTGCTCCTGAGAAACTGTATACAGGACCGCTATGAGTCAGAACAGACTCGAGGGCACTTACCAACACACAACATAATATTCAGGGTAGACTGTTGTACATTACCTACTTGAATACTTCCAGTGTAAGTATATATCAGGTGACAGCCCATTACAGTACTGGATAGCTCTGTTAGGAAGTTCTCATTTATACTAAACCAAAATGTGTCTTCAATTCCCTACTCTCCCCAGAGAAACAGCTGCTGGTCATAAAGAGTGAAAACAGCACTGCATTTGAAAGCAGAAGGTCTTTTTGAAGCCAAATTCCATCACGATTTAGCTCTATAACTTTGAATAAGTTACTTCATTCTTCTGAGCCTGTTCTCTTATCTGAAGATTAAATGTGACAATATTCTGAGCAGTGTCAGACCCTTAGCATATGCTTAGGCAATGTTACTTGCCTATTGGCCTTCCTTTCTTCTTCCTCCCCTTAATAACCTTCCCATATATCCTCCGCAAGGAGCTCTGGAAGCGTAGTGGTTACGAATCAGGCTGTGAACCTTAAGGTCAGCAGTTTGAAACTACCAGCTGTTCCACGGGATAAAGATGAGGCTTTCTGCTCCTGTAAAGATTTACAGCCTCAGAAACCCTGTACCGGGTCGCTATGAGTCGGAACCGACTCCACAGCACATAACAACAACAACAACCTGTAATAAGAACCCTAACCATCTTTTGACTGCCTCCTGTATGTCAGATACTTTACACATTCCACTGGATTATATACCTACCATTTACCATTAGACAGACCAAGTTTCACCAATTGTGTGCTCTTGGAAAATATATAAACCTAAACCTTCCTGTGCCTAAATTTCCTCTCCTGTCCTGTCTTTTTCCTCTTTCAAGGATGCTGTATAGAGGCATTCACAATGGTCCGGTGTCTGACGTACCACCATAGGCTATCCTTCAGTACAGCTTTGAACAAAACTAGCCTGTCCCAACACCTAGTAATAGAATTATTTACCTTTATATCAAGAAGGACTCCTGGTGTGGCATTGTAAGATAAGCACTGGGCTGTTAAGCACTGTAAGATAAGCACTGCCGCAAGGTTGGCAGTTCAAACCCATTAGTCATGCCTCGGAAATCCTGCACAGGGTCATTATGCATCAGAACCAGCTCAACAACACTCACTTAATAACACCATAACAGCATATCAAGAAGGTTGGTAAAGCACCCAAGTGTGCTGTGTAACTAGACCAACTTCGAGGGGTCCGTGCTGTGAGATCTAAAGTTCTCATGGGGTCATCCAAGACAAAAAAGCAAATCAGGAGGGCTGATGGTGGTTCCATGTGCGCTACCTGTGTCCAAGACAGGATCAAGTGTGCTTTCCTTACTGAGAAGTAGTAAATCTTTGTGAAAGTGTGGAAGGGCACAGGCAGAGTCAGAAAGTTAAATAACAAAACGAATGAAGCTACCTTATGTAGTCACTGAATATTCAATTGACATGCTCTATGCAAGAAGCTTGGAACAGAGCCTAGCACATACATACATAGCAGACACTATGTGGTCCAATAAATTTATTGAGTGTCTACTATTTGCTAGTAGACACTCAATAACATACAGTTGACACTCAATAAATTTATTTTACCACCAAATTCCAGATCCCCTGAAAACTTTGACGTAACAAAAAGAAATCAAACCAGGGTAGTTTTAAAAAACAAAAACAACAGAGGTGAACATTTTTTAAAATAATATTTGGGTGGGGAAGACTTTTTTCTAAGCATGACATCAAAGTCAGAAATAATAAAAGCAAAGGGTAGATGATTAAGTGCTGTAGATTCAGTTCTGACTCATAACAACCCTGTATAGGGTTTCTAAGGAGCAACTGGTGTGTTTGAAATGGTGACCTTGTGGTTCGCAGTACAGTGCTAATCTTACAGTACCACACCAGGAGTCTAAAGGGTTGATAGAATGAAATGAAAATCATTTCTGCATGGCAGAAAATATCACAAAGTTAGAAGACACCTAATAATTCAGAGGGGAAAAAAAAACATATTTTTTAAATGTTTTATTGTGAATTATATGATAGTTTACATGAGAGAACCTCAGTTCCATATTCATTCCATCGTATATCATTACATTGCCATGGTTCCAATCCCCTCCATGCATTATCTTCCGACCAAAGGGCATATCCTAGAAGCCCGTGCTCTACACTTCCCCCTTCCCCCTCAGTCTTCGGCCCACAGTTCCTCTCCCTCTCTGGATCCAAAGTCCCCAGCCGCTTCATCCCTCTATGTCATCATCTCTGTCTCCATCTCAGGAATCCCTGGTTCTCTGGGTGGGAACCCAAAAAAAAAAAAAAACATATTTGACAGACAAAAGACTTTTCTTTAACATATGAAGAGCTTTGCAAATACAAAAAATACACTCAAGGTTCTTTTTCTTGAAAAACTGGACAAAGGACATAAACAGCAGAGTGAGACAGTTTGATGTGATCAATTTAGGGGCGTTTTGAGGATAATGCAACAGATATTAAAATGGGTCAACCCTAGCTCTGCTTCTTTCCTTAACCTCCTGTCCAGAGAATTTTTACCTTCTACCTCTTCTCCTCTTCTCTTT